CCCCAAAACCCCAAAACCCCAAAACCCCAAAACCCCGGTGGTATTTTGTCAAGTTGAATGTTCATAGTTATAAATAATTCAATAATTTTATTTGATACGAAGATGGCTTCCTCAATTAATTCTACTTCACAGACAGCTTCAGCTGAAAGTTCTGAAACGAATACTTTTTCAAGTATAAGTAGAGCAAGGTCTCCTCAAAGAGAAAATAATGCACTAGGGCAATCAGAAGTTCTCACTGAAAATATTATCCAAGAAAGAGCCAGGGTTTTACCTATAAGAGGAGAAGTTACTGAACATGAGCCCACTAGCTTGGAAGAGGTTGTATCTGAAAGAGATAGCTCTCAAGAAGAGTCCCGCCTTAGCCGATCTTCTCAAAGAAATATGTCTATCATTGAGAGCACTGAACTACGCACACCTGCAAGAAGAATAAGAGATTACGAAAGAGACTATGAAAGAAGCCAGGAAGAAAGTGAGAATGAAGAATCAAATCAAAGGAATGAAGAACAAAAAAGAGAGAATAGGAGAATCAATCGGACTAATACTTCCCCAACTAATAGAACCTCTAGCTCCATCTTCTCAGGCGGAACACGATCGAGAGTATCAATTTTCACTATAATTTCATAGAGGATATTCAGGCAAGATGATCTGGCTATTGACTGAAATTAGACTTATGCTTACAGTTCTCTCTTTAGCTGCCTTTAAAGCCTTATAATACATTTCAGGATTTGTAGATAGATATCATAATTCTTAAAACTTTATGCATTCTTAGTAAAATTTCAGATGTATTAGAAGATAGATTAGTTATAACATTTTATAGAGCAACAACCATGCTTGATCTACACAGTAAGTTATGTTTTTTAGTCTGAGGTTGATTGCATGGATTTTTCTTATTCTATTTCAAATTCCAGCACATTAACTTATTTTGTGTTCAATATATCAATGAATTAGGATCAAGAGGAAGAATTAGAAGGGAATTTACAGTGAGGTTCCCTCATTTTCAAATCCCTGGAGAGCTTGGAACAGTAGCTCAATTTATCAATCCAGAGGAAGATAACCAAAGGTATCTGCACCATTTCTCCATTTTTTTGTAAGTCTTTAAGGTTCCAGTTTGCGAAGATGAAATTTTCAATTAAAATTGAATGAGACTCAGGTCTATTTCATTTTAATCAAGAAGTTTAAATTTTGAATAGCTGTGAAATTCAGAACTATTTGAAAAGTATATATTATTCATTAGCAGAATTTTCTATAGAACATGCTCTGACGATATTTTGAGAAGCTTAAAAAATCAAGAGATCAAAAGTGACAATATTTCAGGTGAGTTGATTGTTCAAGCTCTGCTCTAAAAGCCAAATAAAGTGAAATTTACAATTATAGAATTTAAAGAGGAGATATGCTCAATATGATTAGGTCAGTTTGAAATAGGAAGCAAAGCTATCACTCTCAAATGAAACCATAAGTTTCACTGAGACTGTATCAGAAGGTGGCTCCAGCAGAGGCAGATATGTCCTTATTGTAGAGAGGAAATTTCATTAAATCAGAGTAGTTAATTAAACACTAAAGACATTGATTCAACCATTTTTCACTTTGATGGGGTTTTGGGGTTTTGGGGTTTTGGGGTTTTGGGG